TGTATTATAATAATATAATATACTAATATATTATATTATAAATGTACATTAGTCAACATCCTGTCGACATTGTCGACATAATAGGAAAATTTGTCTTTTTTTTTGTTATTTGGACCGATTTGGTTGAAATTTCCGAAATATAGGAAATGTCGACCGAAATAATGTAATTTTTATATTACCATCCATTTTCATGTCGGGTGACATTTCGCGACATTTGAAACCATGATATAAGTATGATTATGTGAGAGAGGAAATAGAAAAGAAGATGATGAAGGGATTTCTTTGTAAAATATAACATAATATGATTTATATGTATCGTTTGCATTCATTATACGCATGCTTGTATGAGTATGGTAGTGTGTGTTTATGCATGCGATTGTCAATTTGATAGGAAAGGTTCCAACTGAAACCCAACTCAATCAACTTATTTAATGATTAGATTGGGTTAGGGTGGACTACCGGAGAACCTCAGGTTGAAGATCAAGTATGGTTTAGGGTTAGGGTTGAGATTTTAAAACATCAGGCAGGGTTAGGCTTTTCCATGGACTCAAGCCAACCAAGCCCAAGTTGCATCCCTAGACCTTGTACTGGTGATGCACACAAAATCAGTACCTGTTGCTACATAGGATCCTTCTATGCAGTTTGTTATTTAATATGAGGTGAAACACTGAACCAAAACAAAGTGAAAAATGAAAAAATAGAAGAAATAAAAGCATACATTGGTTCCATGAACAATATTTAAGACACCATTGGGCAAACCAGCCTCCATTGCAAGCTCTGCAAGTATCATAGAAGCCCCTAAAGAGAAAACCGCAATAAATCATGTTAGGAGAATTAATATTTGGGAGAAATAGAACAGCCAAAAAGATCTGTACTTAGACAGAAAGCAAATAAGACAAACATGTCAATATGTAATTTAGGGATTCTTGGGAAGAGCCTTCAACTTTCATAGAAAACAAAGGCAATTGCAGTAGACAGGCAACCTACTACTAAGAATGGCATGTCTGAGTTGTTAAAAACCATGGTCACTCACTGCAGCTCAGAAGGCTATAATCATTTAGTCCCAAGAATTTCATGTTGTTGACTACAAGTTAAGGCCAATCAGTTTATAAACATGACCAAGGAGCTTGTTTGAATATTGAAGGGAAAAATATAATATGAGAAAGACAATATGAATTAATGCAGCCTAGACTTCTTGGGATACTTGCCATACTTGTAGAAATTCATTCTTTTATCCAATTAATAAAATTCGTACAGTCACCAATAAATATATATATATATATATATATATATATATATACAACTTCATGACAATTGTATCAAGCACACAACTACTAGTTACCGGATTCAAATATATAAAATAGAGAAAATGCACAAGAAAGAAGAGGGGTAAATGAACAGGGAAATAACACAAGATTATAAAGACAAAAGGTTACTTTGTTCAATAATATCCCTATGGACCCAATGGATGGAACACCATTCCCACCCCTCTCCACATTCAAAGAAAAGAAGAAAGCCATTTTTAGTACATCATAAAATATGTTGGAATAATTACAATCAGAACAGGTTCTTCCAGGTGAAAGTTTTAGTGCATTCCACCACCAACAAGAGTTGGGGAAAGTTCCATAGGCTCATGTAATAGATGATTCAACTACTTAAAAAGGAGGTGCATAGCCATAGATACCCTCTTTGTTGATTTTCATGGAAATCTAATTAAAGGGAAAAAAATAGGAATAGAAAGCAGGGGACTGGCACCTGGATCCTTCTCTGATGGCTTTAGAACAAATGTGTTGCCACACGTAACTGCCACTGGAAACATCTGTAGACAACAAAACTCTTGTAGTCATACAACAACCAAATATGTAATGAGAACAACATTTTTAAGGTATTAGACAACACAATCTTGTGATTGATGATGGTTAAATCTCGGGCTGTCAAGTATGAGAATGCAGCTTTGAGTATGAGAGCGGCCAATTTGCGCAAAAAATGCCAAAGATTAGGACTGTATCCAGTCCAATCCTCCCAAGACCCCAGAGAGTTGGGACCAACAACTTTGGGTAATGGATTTTTGTGTCTGGTAAACGATAAAAGTTTATTGTGTCCACTTCGACTACCAAAAAAATAGAGGGGGAAAAAATCCAATCAGGAGAATTCTCCAAGGAACCTTGCATCTGCATCTTTGTATAGGATCCTAGTTATTATTTTTCCATAATACAATAAAAGTGTGATGCAAGCTAACAATGGATCAAAGTATCTTAGTAAGTGACAAGAAAATTAATCAACACTTGAAAGTAACCTAATCACTATGAAATTTGCTATTTGTGTCCTAAGCTCCTAATAAAGGATTCTAGTGATTACTTTCCTATTATAATAAAGGATCTACATAATGTAATAATTGATCTAAATATCTTAATAAGAAAAAATATGTAAGAAGTACCATAAAATAGCATAAGTGTACACAATTAACTGTATATATGGTCAAAGAGACAAACAAATAATTAAAGAAAAATTAGAAAAAATAAGAAAATAAGAAAATAACGGGCCTACCCACAGGGGAATCATCGCAGGGAAATTAAAGGGGCATATCCCAGCACAAACCCCAAGTGGTTCCCTAATGCTGTATGTATCAATTCCATTGGACACATTTGAAACAAACTCCCCCATTTGTAGAGTGGCCATTCCACAAACATGTTCCACGACCTCTGCAAGAGATATTCAGAGAATTCATAGAGATACAATCATAATGATCTTGAATTCATGCATCAATCAGTATTCTTATGTGGCTCCAAAAAGAAATCAGTATTTTATTCTAAACAGACATATATATATATATAGCCTGTTAAATCAGATAACATGAGAAACACACTAACCTAATCCACGGAATACATCACCATGAGCATCTTTCAATGTCTTTCCCTGTTCAGTAGTTATATTCATTGCGAGCTTATCCTGTAGACAAGATTGTTATATTAATTGGCATAAAATGGATAACACGAAAGTCAAATAAATCACATCTATATCGTGCTTACAATGTCCCTACGGATGAGCTCTTGAAGCTTGAACATAATACGCTGACGGGTAGTCACGGGTGTGTTTCTCCATGACGGGAAAGCCTGTTTGGCAGCACTTACTGCAGCTTTGAACTCCTCATTCGTAGTTAAAGGCAGTTGAGAAACAACCTCTTGTGTAGCCTATTAGTATACGAAATTAAGGAGAATATCTTTACTGTATCTCACTCAAAATAAAAGGAGAAAAGAAAATGAAAATTTATGGTAATCCTGATCTTACAGGGTTTATAACATCGATTGTAGTACTTGCTTGTGACTCCATAAATTCACCTCCGATGAGATTGCGAAGCCTCTGCCATAACAAACCAAATAAAGGAATAAATTAGAAAATCACCATAGTCACCACTCTCCCATGTACGATCGATTAACAAATAACAACAACCAAGAGAAATAAACAAATAAACGGGTGTAACAAAATTCAAGCAAAGATCAACCCTAGAGGTCGACATCCGAACGTACCGGAGGGTTTCTCTGACTCGAAGATGCCTGTGTGGATGTGGAGAAACGTGAGATTCCGAGAGCATATAGCTGAGGGTTGCATGGTCTCAGGTTCCTCACTGCGACAAAAGCAGATTATTACAAAATTGACAATTAAGATTAATACCAGAACTGAAGAAGAAGATTAGTAAAAGCCTTTATTCTTTCTCTGTCTAGTCCATCGTTACCCTGACGAAACGAAGACTGAAACATTTTGCTTGGAATTGCTGTTTCGGACCCCGACAGCGAAGACAAAGGACCCTCTGCTCTGCACTGCAGTAGGCAGCAGCTAAGCGCTTCTACGATCTCTCTCCTGTTCGCCGTTTTATTGTTGAGTAAGCAAGTGGGCATTGGTTCCTCTACGTCCGATCCGCGTGTTCAACCCGAACCATATTACCGCGACCTAGCATTTTAAAATTTAAACCTTGACTTCGGATTTATTAAGCATTTGGCATTTTTGGAAACATGTGGAATTTTAAGGGGGTGTTGTCAAAATGCATTATTGAATTTTTTTTAATTTAAAGTACGTGCTTTCATCTCATTATCAATATGTTTATTAGTAATTATTGAAGCCATTATATTTATTGATATTATTATTAATATCATGGGTCATATAATATCTGCACTCTAATTTTTTTATGGACCATTATTTTGATTATTTTAAAAATATGAATTGTTTTTTAAATGAAACTAACTCTGAAACAAATAAAAACAAAAGCATTCATAGTGTAAAACGCCCCTGAAAATGGCAGTTGTGCACCGGCAGCCCAATGCACCGACACCATGATAGACCTTTATGCTGTGTTTGGTTTGAAGGAAAACATAGGAACAGGAAGGGAGAGATAAAAAAAGAATAAATAAATATTTTTTTATAAATCTTGTATAGGCAATCCCTACCATTTCCTTCAAACCAAACGTAACCTTAAGAGAATAATTTTCTTTGGTCATCTTATCTCTCAACCAACATATTAGGTAACCTAAGAGACTAATTTTATTTAGTATCCCAATTCCTTAAATTTGAGGTATTTTTGAAATTACTATCATTTGAATTCCATTTCCAAGAGAAAAAATGAGTTTCTTTGTTCTTTGATACGAAAGTTTTTCTTTTACTTGTCTATAAAGTGTGTCATCACGCCATAAGAAAAGCAAAAGCATGTCAGTGAGCTTTATTTTTTAAAACATTTTTCTTAAAACTCATTATAATTTTTTAAAACATCTAGATAACTCAGTGACAAAATTCACCATCTGTCAGAACACCATTATGTTCATTGACAGAAACTGTCCATGTCAGCATAAATATATTTTTTATGACCAAAATACCCCTAAATGGCGAATCATCCATATTATAAGATAATTTTATGGGTAATCTACTGTTTTTCATCCCGAACAGAGGCGGCGATCAGCGATCTTCCCCTTTCCCTTCTCTCCCCCATTGTCATTCCTTATTTTTCTCTCTCTTCCTCACCTCCACTGAGCTGAAACGTCAATCAAAAACACTGTTCTTCGTCTTCAACTTTGAATTTGAACAAGTTGCAGCGGTAAAACTTCTCTCCTATTCTCACTCATCTCCAACAATTTTCTTCCCTCACTCTCTCCCTTCACTTCTTTACCATTTTGTCGTTTGAACTTCCACTAATCTTCTAGTCACAATTCAAGGAAACCATCGCTATTTGAGGAACAGGCAATATGAGATCAAAAATCGACTGAAATTCCCCTAACTGTCAGTTCTATGTTTTTGGATTAGAGAAAGATGAATTAAGTAATTACTTGTTGTAAAATCGTCCTCTAATATTCTTGGGATGAACTTCCATCATGCCTCTGAAAAATTCCCATATGTCCCCTCGCCATTAACCGGCACCGTGTTTCGTGTTGACTCGATTTCCGACAAGATATAAGGTGGCATCAACACATTTTCAACGTCTTGACACGGATGGTGGGAACTAACACCAGAAGTATGCAATATAATTGATTGCCTCAAGAATGCAGGAATCCTGTTTGCGATTGCTACGTCCTCCTAAAAAAATATCCAGACAAGACCAAAGATTAAATCACCAGAACCGTTGCAGAAAAAATACGAAAAAATAAAAAACCTTTGACTCACCATGGCATGAAAACAAACTCCGTAATCGTGTAAAGTGACGAAGACATGATTGGACCCACCATTTCGATTCCAAAACGGCATTTCAAAAGAGTTGAGCTGCCCCACTGAAGTTAGAAGAAGCCGTGTGTGACCCATCAACGGGAACCCATTAACAGAATAGAAGTTAAGAAGAAATCAGCTTCCCATGGATTGAAGGTAAAATCGTAATCTAGTAACAGTCGTTAGTTTGTTTAATGTCAAGTTACTGATATGGGTTCTTTAGACGTTCGATAAAGTTATGGTGAATTTAAGAGGAATGCTGAAAAATTATGGTAAGTTTTGAACAATTTTTCTTAGACTGAATTTGGAAGGACTACAAATGTAAATATATAGATTGTAAAACTTTATATTTTGTATGTATTTATCCTATACATATTTGTATTTACGCTGATATGGGACGACTATTTGGTCACGCCCAGCAAAATTTAAATGTTTATTTAAAGCTTATATAGAGCAGACCAAACCAAATTTCAATGGATTCGGGTCGAAAATATCTAAAAAAAAAAGTGAGAAATACGAATTAATATTCAGTCGATCAGAAATCTCCATCTGAATGTATCACATGTTATATGAACTATGCTACAAAAACCACCAAAAGAAAGCATAGATTTGAAACTAAAAAAATAAAAAATGCCTTTCTAATTTTAATTTTGAAAGCAAGAAATACTTCTAAAAATTAAGAAAGAAAATAACCCACATAGAAAAAAAAAATCCCTTTATGATAATTTTCCAGACAAAATGGGAAATGGGGAGATGGTGCGGTGCACTTGAATATGACATCACAACCAAATAATTTACTTTATCCACCGGTGGAATGTGGGTTTTCCCTACCCGGACGGGTATTTGTAATTAGGGTGAGAGGATGATTATTTTCGTCATGCCATGCGTCACCCTAGTCGGCGTGTTTGGATTAAGACTTACATGTCAAGTGGTGTTTTCCTTTTATTTRAAGTATAGAACAGGTTCGTTTTGCCTTTTGTTTGTCCACCAAAAACAAAATTAATGTAATTGGACACCACGCCAGATCCCTGCAAATTTCGGAACTCTCTCTCTCTCTCTAGATCTCTCTAGATCTCCACTTGCAACTTGCTACTTGGTAGTTATTTGGCTATGCTCCATTTTCTATATTGGGTTTGTGGTGTATTTAGTATTTACTTTTGATTGCATACCTAGCCATTGCACATGCATTTGTTTGAGACAAGGTGTGCCAATGATCGTTCTGATGTGACGAGTACACTTGTGGAAGTTTAAAAGCTCATAAGGGCTGGTGACCTACGCTTGCGTCCCTCCAAAAAAATGGAGGTGTAGGATCAGGCCTGCATAACTGCTGCATGTTCTTGCTCTTTATCACCTTGTGCTCTGCATTGTAATCCCATTGCAATGTGTGACATGTAAAACCAAAAACAGGAGAAAAACTCGCAATGTGTTTACCTTTTCTGTCCACCAACCCCCCCCCCCCCAAAAAAAAAAAAAAAAAAAAACTAGTGATGACAGTTAAGGGTGTTCTAGGTTCGGTTAGGTGCAGTTTAGAGTAGATTTTAGACCATACCAATATATGAAATACAGTCTGAGAATTTTTCAGATCAAGTAAAATCATTTTATTATAATTTGGTGTGGTTTCTAATAAAGTTTAGGCCATTCTATTGGGTTTAAGAAACCCCACACAACATATATGCTTGCATAAATTACAAATATTCTACTTTAGTCATAAAATCATTGAATCATTATTTTTTATTATATATTATATATTATAATGTTAATATAATATATATTACATATTATATAAAATATATATTATATTAATATATATTTATATATGTATATATTTCAATTTATTGTTCACTATTTAATTTGGTTTCTAAATATCATGAAAGCAAACCAAACCATTTTATGTCTACACCAAACCAAACTAGTATCTTCTCTCGATATCTCTCAAGTAGAGCATCCCCACTTAGCGCCCCTCTCATTCTTTTGTTGTTTCTTCATTCTCTCTCTACTCAAGGGATCTCTAACTCCAGTCTCCCTCTACTCAATGGTACAAGAACCTTGCGTTCTCTCTCTCTCTCTCTATATATATATCAATATATATATATATATTAGTCTCCATTCCCATCCATTCTCTTTGCTCAACCATTCGATGTCTTGTATTTTTTACTTGTGAGACAAAATGAGTTGTGTTTTGTGTTCAGGTGGTATTCGAGCTGGATTCGAGGATGCCACATGGCGAGTTCTATGGCCGCCCTCTTCGGACCTCGTCAACATCGTTGCTTGAGGTTGTATGACAAAAGAACGTGACAAGAATGAGTGTTTCACACAAACAAGGAAGCTAACTTCGCCGAGAAAAGGGGAACCCTCTAAAGACCTTGGCGGATAATTTCATCTCGACAACCCTGGAAGCCCTAACCAACTAGGACACATATGATTGGCTATAAATAGGCATTCCCCATTTGAGGTAAAGGACTTTTGACTCCACTCATTCAGCACCCCTATCATATCACTTCTTCAGCTCGGAACCAACACCATTTTGATTTGCTTGTCCCAAATGACCCCATTACCTTATTGACTTGAGCGTCAGAGTGCCGGCCTCTGACTCTTGTTGTGGTTGCAGATCTTGGTGTGTGGTTTCATCCATTCACCTCGGCCTCGTCTAATTGACATGGTTATATGATTGCATCGTCAATTCAAAACACTTCGTATCAAACAACATCATTTTTCTTGTAATTTTTTATGCAGGTTCAATTATTAGGTAACTAGACCGCTTTGTTCAAGTGCGCAAAGAATGTTCCTCTTCAAATCTCCATCTTCATGCTCTCAAGCCCTAATCTCAAAATCTATAGTTAGGTCCTCATCAAATCGAAAAACCCTTCTACAATTTTGTTAATCTGGGCCTACAGACATGAAATTACATCAATAAGATGTATAACTTGGTCTTTGATGCAAACATACTAAGAATGCTCCGCTCTAAGATTTAGTACAAGTCTGAATACTCTTGTCCCAAAAAGGTGACGGTTTTCTAATCTCTCACTGAATTGGGTTCATCGATTAATTAGTCGATGCTCTCCTATCCATATTTCTAAGTTTTGTATCATTTTTGTGAATAAAGTCTGCTACAGAATTGAATTCATTTATGGTGGAGGATCGGGCAAGAGAGTTGTGGATTAGATTAAGAGGAAAATATGAAGAGAAGGAAGAGATTAAGATTGAGGCTACGATGTTTAGTGAGTCTATTTCTGATCGCAAATCATGTTATGATGCGAATGGGGAGGATGTGCAACCCCACATCAATGTGATTGTTGATATTTCTAAGGGGAAGGTTGTGGTGTGGTGCAGTTTGTCTGCATGGCATGGTTGGATTATTTGGAGATTCGGAGAGTTTTCATGCTTCAACGTGATGGAATGCCTGCAAGATCTTACATGAGACACACTTTTAAGAAATTGAGCATGGATCTTCAAGATGCACTCCAATAATATAAGTGGGATACAAACTTTTTTTTTTTTTTGCAAAGAAAATCCTCTGACTCTCTTGTCACGAACACAATCCAAACTTGTACTTGTAGCTTATCATGGACACGATTCAAAAAGCTTGACAACTTGTAGTTGTACAAAGAACTTGCAACGATCAATTGTATGCGCACAAGATAAGAGAATTTTCTTTCTTTTTTTTTGTTGTAGTAATTTGACGAATCTTTTGATTATAGCAACTCAAAGGCCAAAATTCTTCTGCCGACGTTGTACGGAACTATAACGGTTTCGAAACTTCAATGGTTGAGGAATAGAAATTTTGATTCTTCTTCTCTTGATCTTGGTGCAGTTGTCCTTTCTTCTTCCATTTTTTCTAATGAAAAAGAAATAAGAATAGGCAAAGAAATTGAGGAGCCGAAGTATGAGAACTAGAGGAGGGCTAGAGCTTCCTCTTGTTTTCTCCTCTATTTATAGAGGTCACCCTTAGATGATGAACTGGTCCAAAGGATTTAAATTGATTTGAATCCACTAATCATTGTTGCAATTTAGTGTTGATTGACATGGGACCCACAAATTGATTTGAAAGGGATTCTCTTAATTATAATTTTGTATTATTTGAGAAAATTGATTGGTTTGAGATCTCCAATTAACAGATGGTGATCTTTGTATAAATAAGATTGATTGGAAGAGGTTTGTAAAGGTGCCACTTGTCAAGAAATTAGGGCCCACATAAGGAATGAAACCCATTAATTGAATTAAGCTAACCTCCTTGAATCAGCCAACCAAATTTTCCTTTTAACCAAATTGTTAATTAGGCATGGTTGCCAATCAATTAGGCCCCACTAAAGTTGATTAGAGAAAATCTTTCTAATTGATTTGAGAGTTGAAGAAAATATTTCTAATTGCCATGAATAGTGGGCTTTGTCTCAATATTCAATCCTCTACGTGATAAGTGTGGGCCCTACCTAACACACTCTTAGGTTTATATATAATAGTGTGTTTCTCTCTCTCTCTCTCTCTAACCCCATTCAATTTTTTTTGGGAATTCATTAGGGGGCCCATTTTCTGATTAGGCTTCATATTGGGTCCCATCCAACTTCTTTCTTGGGCCCACTTTTTGTTATTATTTTATTAGTGGATCCAGTAACTCTTTTTCGTTCAATCTCATATTGGGATCTATTTATTTCACTTCCTGGGCCCATAATTTACATACCAACAAAAATTTAGGAGAGATTTTTTGGATAAACAATTTAGAAGATATGTTAGTGTTTAATCATAACTCATTATATTTTCTTTTTATTCTTAATGAAATATGCTATTATTGATAAAAAATTCTCAAAATAGGATCATGCCAAACATCATTTTGATTCTTAGAAACAAGAATAAGGGTTTTGTACCAAACATCCACACAAATTCTCAAAATCAAGAAAATCCATAATCCATTCTTTTTTCTGGGTGGATTTTGAGAATGAGAAATTTTAGAATTGATGTCAATCAAGGCCTAAATTACCTGAGTATTACCATATGCCTCTTTGAGTAAATAATTTTCCCATTGCTATTACATGGTGGGACAACATTGCCCCTTCAATAATAACTTATAGGGTAAAAAGACTTAAATATACCTTGATTTTTCA